AATGTAAAAAAAAAAAATAATAATAAAAAATAAAAAAAAAACTTCTATTTATAGAAAACTATGGTTTTTAATTGAAATGGAAAATGGTCAAAATTGAACAAAAATTGATAAATGATGTTCGATTTGGATCAAAAAAACATAGTGTCAAAATTGAAAGAAAAATTAAACTTAGTATCAAAATCGAAAAATGAAAACTTAGTGTTTTTTGTGGAAAAAAATTCATTTTTTTACACATCAGCATGCCACATCATCAAAACTGACACGTCATCATGTCACGTCAGCATGTAACCTGGTTTAACCGGTCAAGTGGTCAGAATTGTAACAAATTGAAAAACACAGTGTCAAATTTGAGACAAAAAAAAAAACGGTGTCAAATTAGAATTTTTTGTGTAAACAGAGTGTTTTTTATGCTACTTACCCATGTTTTTTATATGTGACTTGGATATATTAGAAAATCCGTATAATAATTTATCGAGATGAAATATATGATTCAGTTATTTGTATGATGTATAATTGTTTTACTTTATATATCGATAAATTAGTTACAATAAAAATATTTCATATGACTCCCTAACTTAAAAAAAAAAGGTATTGATCGAGTTTTAGTCTATTTTAGATATATTGATGTTAATTTTTCCGAAATTACATGCACTCTACTACAATTACTACATTTCGGTTTTATGTTCAGTAATAAAACTCTTTTTACGGAAAAATTTAAGAAACTGAAAAATACTAATATATATTCATGAAAATATGCAGTAATCTGCGATAATTACTTTGTTGCAATTACTTTGTTTTTCACAATGAAAAAAGTTTGAAGTAGTTTAGAATCGTCACAAATTATAACTTATTGAAATGTTTGTTAAGAATATATATATTTTTTTAAATCAAATGGTAATTTTTTTGTTTTATGTATTGACATTTAAAAATGTCATTAAAACATTCTGTGACACATCTTCAATGGAGGCTTTATTTTGAGGTTATTATTATTTTTCTAATTAAGTGCTCAATACTTATTTTATTTGTTTTTTTTACCACTTAATATATATTGATATTAAGTATTTTATTTTATCACTTTAATTAAGTGGTCAACATCATCTTAGCCCTCATTCTTTAATAGGATTTCATTTTATCCTTTGAATAGATTTTAGTTTCAAATATTTGTTATTTATTTACTAAATAATTTATTATATTATATATAATATAAATTTATTTACGAAATATAAATTTTATATCGACTATATAATGTTTTTAAGACTCTTTTTTTTATAACTGTGTTGTACTTTTTTTCATATTTTATGTATATAAAATAATAATTGTATTTATGTATTTTTATTTTTGTGACATTTTGGAAATAATGTGCGTTTAGAAAACCACTGTTTAATTGATTTGGGGTTATAGAGTATTTTAGATAGATAATGATATATTAATTAATTTAAGGAAAAAAAAACTATAGAAATGGGTTGACCATTAGAGATGTTATTTAATTATAGTTTAATGTATTAGGAATAATGAGTTGACAATTTTTTTGAAGTTTAGCATGTGTTAACCATTTGAGATACTCCTAGACTCGACGGTTTGGCACCCACATTCTCAATTACCGTGTCATAGTTAATCAACTTTGTATCATGAATACTGCTGGCTGTAATTGGGGTTTGATATTGTGTGGGTAGGTTTTTCTACCAATCGATTATGTTTATTTTTTGAAACAAGAGAAGTTCTTTTAAATTAGGTCACATATGGGATTGGAAAATGAAGTTTTTGTTCTACAGACACTTAAATATACTAAAATAGATCTATATGTTATTATCCAGGTAAATAATTCTTGTGACATAAATATACTTCACATCTAATTTGATACATATTCACATATATTTATTTCTAACTTGATACATATTCATATATAACATAAATGAACATCTTGAACCTTAATCTCATTGATATCACATTTTTGAACTAGATAAATTATGTCTGTACTATGACGTACAATGCGAGCTTGTAAAATGAAACTCACGTGATAAATAGTTAAAATACAATTATTCGAAAAATATATATATAGATATACTTAACATGAATCGTTCATTATTTATTAACCAACCTCTATTTATAATATCGACTTAGCGCCATTATGCTTTCTGTTGTTTTCTATAACATGTTAATTTTTAATCAATCAATTTTGAAGCATTCATTTCATCAGGGGACTAGTGTATAAATTAATTATATTTCAAAAAAATTATATAATTGATCCTTGTGACTTACCAAATACCACAATTTCAGTCCTCACTAATTTATTTTAGATACAAATGGTCCCCATGGTTTCTAAACATGCACGAATCCTCATTATGGTTTCTAAAACATTCATGAATCTGAGCTACATAAAAATACTTCTTTGCCCCTTTTCAAGTTCTAGCTGCACTAGACTGTTGAGCTATAGAGTTTAGACTGACTGACTCCATGACACTAGTTAATAGCTATCGTAGATCGTTCAGGCCAGTGATCATTTGGAAGATCACTGTCCTCCACTTGCATAACTACAAGAGATTCTAAATCGTATCTCACCGTATTCGTTCCATTCATTCGTCCTCACTCATGTAACTTGGCTAGCAGTTGTAAGAGCAGCAACAACAGCCAGGAAATTCCCATGCACTGGAAACAGAGAAGGAATCCATCAGGATGAAGTAGCCAGTGAAGTTTTCCCTCATAAACCTCAGAAAGACAGCCCCGCATAGATTGAATTTATTGAATGGAGATAGCAAAATACTCATAATTTCATCTGGGGTCATTCAATGCCTCTTTGACAGAGATATGAGGCTGAGGAGGGTTGTCTACCTGCAGAGGAGAATTAAACCACTTATCATGCAAAAAAAATGTTACCTTTACCGATAGACCACAAGGCGTGGGAGAAAACAAAGTCCAGCTGGGCATGGATGGCTCTCCAACAATGAGAAGCACTCCTAGGAATTGAAGAGAGAACAACCCTGTGAGGGGCACCATATTTGCTTCGCATGAACATAGCCCAAAAAAAAGAGAGTCCCCTTTATAGTATAGAATTCCACGCCTGTGTGCAAGGCTTGCCTCACTTGATGTAACGAACGAATTAGAACACCCCCTTCCTCCTTAGGACAACAAATGGTCTCCCATGACACCCAATGATGTGTCTCTTCTCCATTAGAGCTCCAAAAGAAATTCTAAAAAAGACCCTGCTCAAATATGCGACTCTATAGGGATAAAAAAAATGAAATTCATAATGGTATTCTAAATAGTATCTTACTTTTAACCTCTTCCCTCAAGGTCGGACGTTATTTCGGTTCGTCTCCATTTTAGTGAAACTCTTCCTCAAGCAAGGAAACCGATAAGTCATCGAAGGCTTTTTGTTAATAATGTAATAATCAACATTACTTCTTTTCAAGTTTCCCAAGGTGATTTCATATCTTTTTAAGAAAATGATACTCTAATCTATTCAGAAATAAGGAGATCCTTCTATATCGAAATTTCAGTTTCTAAAATCATAGGAAAATTCTTGGATAGCCCGGTAAGAATGTGGAGAAGAACCAAAACGGAATGGTTCCGCTTACTTAAAACTAAGAGTGGATGTCGCCTACTACTGAAAGACCCGTTTTTGCAACAGTTGCGTTCTTCTATGCAAGACGAAGACTTAGAAAGAACAAAGAAGTTTGGATCCGAAAAAGTATGCTTAGGCAGTTCTTTCGCTGAGCACAAGAGAATAAAGAGGCATTTTTATCACTTCAAATCGGTATTTCTTTTCTTTAAAACTAAATTTAAATAACTACAAATAAAAAATAAATAAACTTAAACCATTCCCAACTACCAAACCCCTCTTCCCCACCTCTTGCTCTTTAACATTATAATTAAAAGAGAAATAGTAAGAGAAAAAAAGATTGGGATGGACCCCTTCGCCGGTAATTCCTGTAATTGACCCTCTTGTCGCAGATTACAAAAGAGAGAGAGAAATACGACAAGAAATAAAGAACAAGATAGAGAAATTGAGGAGGGTTAGCGAACATGGACGTTTCGGTAGGGTTAGCGATGGAAGTGCAAGTAGTGTAAGGTGGATGTGAAGATGGAAGTTGGGTGAATAGGGCCTGATGAAAAATCCATATGAAGATGATGATGCATGTAGAGGATGGAAATATTTGACGATGGGCCTGTCTTATTGTACCTCTATTGGTGCAGCAAGTAATTAGGATTGGAGATGATGATGATCTCGATGATATGAAGGTGATAACATGACGCTGATGTTGGCAATGTTTGGAAAGGGTGAAAGATGGTAACAAAAGGAATGGGGTTAAGGTGGGGAGCTTTTATTTCCTTTTTTACTTAAGTCAAAGTTCCTAAAACATACAAAATAAAATGAAAAGGGTATACCAGTCTTTTTAGCAGGGACCAAAAAAACAACTTTTGAAACCACAGGACCACGTATATAAAAAAGTTAGCATCGACTGAAATTGTGACATTTGGTAAGCGATAAGGACCATTTATATAACCGTGTCTTATATTTATTAATATATATAGTATACTTTTTATTGATTATTATTTAGAGTAACTATGTACGAAAAATGAATTTTTGAACGACTTTCAATATTTACACATTTTTAAAACATTTTACTGCATTGATCATGACATCCACCTTACTTTAGCAAAGTCCATGATGGTCCATGCATAGTACTCATAAATGAAACTAAAGCGTTCGTGTGATGGATAGCTAGGATTGGAGAGTTGACATGTACATAATAATTTTTTTTACCACACAACAATTTATGTTTTATAGGGTTATACAATACACAAATATAAAAATTCCACAATTCTGTAAAACATAAATTGTTGTGTATGACATAAATTTGTTGTGTACAGATCACTTTCCTTAGGATTTGTGAAAGGTTAAAAAGAAAAGACACGACTTTAATGATCAGTCACCAATTTGATAATAATATTTACATTTTGGATATATTTTCTAACCTCATATTATTATTGTAATACAGCATAACAACAAAACAACTTGCAACCAAGATTTCTAACCTAGCACAAAAAGTAGCTGCAATTTTGGCAGAGCAATTAGGCTATAAACCAGATTCCTTTGAGAGAGATTGTTCTACTACCAGCTGCTATCTTCGACTGAATCGATATCCTGCTTGCCCCATTTCACCAGAAGTGTTTGGATTGATGCCACATACTGATAGTGATTTCTTGACCATCTTACATCAAGATCAAATTGGAGGATTACAATTAGTAAAAGATGGGAGATGGATTTCTGTTAAACCAAATCCAGAAGCTCTAATCATCAATATCAGAGATCTTTTTCAGGTATAAATTTTATATATTCCTTTTATATAGTATAACCATTATCAATGATATAAGTGTCGGTTTGTATTAAGTTGTTCCTTTTGGTTTCAGGCTTGGAGTAATAATACTTATAAGAGTGTTGAGCATCGTGTTGTCGCTAATAAGAATGCGGAGAGGTTCTCAACTGCTTATTTCTTCTGTCCATCTTATGAAACAATGATACAAAGTTGCTTCGAGAACTCAGTTTATAGAGAATTTAGTTTTAGAGAATTCAGAGAACAGGTTCAAGAAGATGTCAAGATACATGGTTACAAAATAGGGCTTCCCAGGTTTATCATTTAAACCAAACATATAGACCTAAAACTCCACACATATATTCAGACCACCACTCCCTGAAACATATTTAGTATATGATATATAAGTGTTAGAAAGAATCATTAGATACTAGTTAAGCATTATAACAAAGAAGCATGGGTTATGAAACTAAAATTAATATATCTTAGTTAATTATATTTCACCAAAGTGTATGACTACCAAATGGAAGTTCCTTTCAACATAAAAAGGGAGAAATGGAGAAAAAAAAACTTAAGAAGACTCATCACAAAGCATGGTGCATGCATGAAGAATCAGGAGAGAAGATGTACAGTCTAAAAAATCATGGTCGCATGTGATGCTATTAAAAAAATACTTTGTGAGGAATAGGAGATGATCATCATCAATAACATCGCTACAAACATGATGCATGTAATATATGGAAAATAAAATCTTCTACTAGTTTATCCTAATACTTCATCCTCCTCCCTTTTAATCTTACATATTTGATGATTGACATTTGTAATGTACTATTTATCTTATCTCATATAATCCTTTGATTGTAATACTTGTCAGGATCCAGTGAGTAGAAGGATCAATAGAAATATTTAGTAGAAGTATATTGAACCTTTCATAATGTATTCAGACTATTAAATATTGTTTTTGTTGTATTCATTCCTATACTACTTGGCAAGGCATAGAAATGGCATGTAGAACTAGTAATAATTTTCAATGCAGAGCGTATAATCTTTTAATTGTATAAATCATATTGAATACCTATTTATATTTCCTTTTTATGTATATATATTATTATTTTTAGGTTCATGTGTACTTAGGATGGCTTAAGATCATGAAATGTGTCTCTCAATTGCAATTATAAATATTGAGATGAATTAGGGATTCCATCCTTGAGTTTTAGATTAAAGGGTCGTACGTTTGAAAAGTATTTAGAAAAGTGTAAAGATCTTTAAATTATTTTCAAAAACGTAGTGCACAAACATTGTTTAGAAATATGGACCATGTGTTTTATTGAAAAAAGGAAGAAACAAATGGCTTCAAAATTTTTCTTTCTGGTGACAATCTTCACGGTAGTTTAAACTCCAGAACTAACATTCTCGTTTCCTTGCCAAAAATTTATATGTTTTTTTACATATTTTATAAAAGGGGTTGTGGCAGATGGTTATGTCGGTAGTGCAAATGGCCATTAATACAACAAATTTTCATTAAGAACATCATGGGTTAGTGTTTCTATATCCATGTAATTATTACTGTCATTTATTTATTGTGCCTTTTATGTATTTCTCCTATTATTGATGTATGTATTGTGTAACTTTTCTTATTTATAAAAGGCTTACATATTCCCTCTTGTGGAACATAGAGATTTAATTCACTCATTGTATGATATGCCTAGTGTCTATTCTCTTTTCGTAACTCCGACCCGAAACTTCACTTCCACCACCGATGCTGGTACAAGCCAGATATGTCATTTATGCGGGGAGATAGGACATCTCAAGAAGGATTGTCCAATAACAAAGAACTCTGGCGCAGACGGGAAAATACTAAGGATCACTGCTGCAGGAGAGACTACTCCGGACTCACGTTGAAATTTTAGGGCGTTTTCGTTATATTAGACTTATAAACTGTTAAAAACTAGTGCAACTCGAGTCATATCTTTTGCGAAATACCATCAGTCGAGGGACTCTCGTGCTGCGTGTACTTGCTTTTGTAGTATACCTTGTTCACATCAACAGTCTTGTAAGACAAAACTAAAGTACTGAAACTCTGTCAAGTTGCACCATTATGTTTTTGTAACGCCTTTATGATCTAATCTAACGCGTTTTATTTCAAGTAGTCCGACATTATCATGTAACATGAGTCAATTCGATCCTTACAATGCCAATCTTGTACGAAAACTCTTTTCCCCATAGCCTCCTTTCTAGCGAAGCCGTCATTCCAGAGTTCCGAGATACTCATGTGAAGGGTATCTTATGTTTCGTGTCCTACCCGAAGAAACCTCCCCGGAATGCCACTCGTACAGTACGTCAAGTTCCATCCGAAGAGCCATACGGATAATCTATCGCTGAGGAATGTGTACGCAAGAGTGGTATATAATCAAGGTTCTACAAGTTTAGAATTGATGCTTTCGCTTTAACTTCTTTTCCTTGTTTGGATGCGAGCTTAGAGAAGAATCATTTATTCGACGGCCTTTTCAATCTTAATTATATACGACTCGTGTACGCGAAGCTGTGATTAATGAACCAAATATGACTTCAAAAAGGAACTTCAGGACGAAGACTGCTCAAGAATCTGAATGATCGCACTGCCATGCGAATAAACTTAGGAGCCAATCAAATGCCTTTCCCACCAATCGAGACAAGAGATTCGAATAGAACAGAAAACTCCCAGGATTACCTCCACAACGTCAAGTCGAGTTCAAAATCGACTTAATTCCAGGGGCTACCCCGTTAGCCAAATCGCCCTATCGTCTAGCACCTGCAGAGATGCAAGAACTGTCCGGTCAACTTAACGAACTGCCCAGCGAGAGCTTTATAAGACCAAGCTTCTCACCCTGGGGAGCTCCAGTCTTGTTCGTCAGGAAGAAAGACAGATCGTTTCGTATGTGCATCAACTGTAGAGAGCTCAACAAGCTAACCATCAAAAATTATTACCCTCTGCCTCCCATAGACGATTTATTTGACCAACTTCAAGGGACGAACTTCTTTTCAAAAATAGATCTGGGATCCGGATGTCACCAGTCTCTAGTGCTAGGGGAGAATGTTCCGAAAACAACCTTCCAAACTCGTTATGAACACTACGAGTTTGTAGTGATGCCATTCAGATTGACCATATGCGCCGCAGTATTCATGGATTTAATGAATAGGGTGTGTCGTCCTTACTTGGATCAGTTCGTCATCGTCTTCCTCGATGACATACTTATCTACTCTCATAGTAAGGAAGAGCATAGTCAACATCTTCAGCAGGTCTTGGAATCATTACGATCGGAGAAACTCTACGCGAAATTCTCTTAAATGCTAGCTTTGGATTCGAAGGGTCAAATTCCTGGGTCACGTTGTTAGTGAAGGGGGAATTCCTGTAGACACTTCCAAAATCCAGGCCATTGAGAACTGTCAGATGCGACGACACCTACAGAAATTCGTAAATTTCTAGGTCTCGCAGGCTACTATAGTAGGTTCTTTCAGGACTTCTTTCGATTTGCGAAACCTCACATGACTTCGACCTAGAAGAGCGTGGCTCTTGACTGGGAAGAGAAGCAAGAGAAAGCGTCCCATATGCTGAAGCGAGCCTTGTGCAACGCACCGATACTATCCCTCCCAAAGGGAATAGAAGACCTTGTAGTGTATTGCGATGCATCCAAATCCAGGGCTCAATTGCATTGTGATGCAACAAGGTAAGGTCAATACCTATGCCTCCCGTCAGCTTAAGACACTCAAAGCCAGCTATGCATTTCATGATCTAGAGTTAGAGGGAATCGATAGAGAGGATCGTTCAGATTAGCGGACGATTGAAACCCTCTAGAGACCGACAGAAAAGTTACGTAGGGCTTTTCGAGATTCTCGCTAGAGTCGGCTCTGTAGCTTACAAACTCAACTTACCCCCGCGAACCTAGTAACGTACATTCTACCTTCCCCATCTTGAACTTGAAAAAGTATCTGTCCGACGAGACTCTTGTAATCCCACTCGACGAGATCGAGATCAACGAGAGCCTCAACTTCGTGGAAGAACCTGTAGAGATCATGGACCGAGAGGTCAAACGAATGAAGCAACGTTGTGTCCCGATAGTGAAGGTTCGCTGGAACGCCAAGCGAAGATCTGAATTTACTTGGGAGCATGAGGATCAGTTAAAACTGAAATATCCTCATCTTATCGCTTAGTTATTTGTAATAACTTAGTTGCTTAAACCCTAATTTCGGGACGAAATTCCCTCTAACGGGGGAATGATGTGACAACCCGAAATTTCAATCTTGTACCAATCATTCAATCCAATCAAAGTTAGACTTGTTCCTGCTAACTTTTGGCCTTGTTTAGATTCCGTCTGAGCATTCTGAACTAATTCATTACAGGATTGAGTAGATGGAAGTGCCAACTGAAGTTATAACCCACCAAAGTAGCCATAAACCCTCAAAAGAGGTGTTTACGGCCGTAAACACCATGGTGGCCGTAAACACCATAGTATATAGGTGGCACTTGGTCATTTTTCATTCATTCTTCACCTTCCAAGCTAGAGAAATCGGATTCTCTCTCAAGTATCATCCGAATTTTCCTCTTGATCTTCAACTTTATAAGTGTTTCTTGCCTTGATTAGTTGATATCCTTCATCATCTAGTAATCTTACATGATTTCATCCATGAAATCATCCCTTTTTCATAGACCATCAAGCATTCTTCATTTCACCAAGAACACACACTAGTGTTCTTGGGCCGTGAACCCCCTTTCAAGCCCCTATATTGTAAGTACTCTTACATTAGCTTGTTATATGCTTGTTTCACTAGATAAACAACTAGACTACTGTTGGGTTTTGAGCATTCTAACACTCCTATGGTGTACATGCAACCCCATAAACCTTGGATCTATGTTTTCTCTATTATACATGCAAATATTAACTATTCCAAGGTTTCATCCTAACTAGCATATTATGAAGCACCTATACTACAAAGTTCTAGTTAGATGACATACCTTTTGCTGTAACTTGATGTCTTCAAGCTTTAAGAGCTTAGCCCCAATAGTGTGGAAGCCTCAAATGGAATCACAAATCACCAAAACACCTTGGAAGAACTTGAGAGAATATGTATGCACACTAAAATCGGCCCACTCTTATTTTCACACACTTGTACCAATTTTGTGAGCCAAGGACCCCTTTATATATTATGGAGGATTAGGGTTACATCCATGTAAACCCTAATACCCATGACCTTTCATTTACATAGGATCCATGGGTTAAAAGCTCCATGGACCATCCATGAAAGCTTAGCCCAACCTAAATGAACTTGGCCCATTCCATATATATAAGA